CGACCATGTCGCCCACATCGGTGCCGCATAACAAGAACCCTCCTCCTGGAAGCAGCGCCGAGCACTTGTATTGCCGACGAAGACCTGAACTTGGCGTCGCCATCGGACCCCCTGGACACAGAAGCCCAATGTGCCGACGGGCGAACAGGGAGCAGACATCGCGATCAGGTACGTGCATGAATACTGCTTGGCGGGCGCTTGGCTGGCGGTTTTGCGCATGTGTCGCAACAACCGAACTATCGCGGGCCCGCTATCCGAGAACAAAGGGTCTTTGTGTGTGTGGTTTGACGCTTCATGACCACAGAACAGATTCGAAGGGGGCGATTTGTACGAGTCTCGACTTTTCAACGTTTTTCGCATGGCTCCACTTGCTTGGGCACAAAACGACACAAGACGACCGTCATATGTATTGCAGCTGGTACAGTACCAGTAGCGACGGGCGGGTTGGCAACATTAACCTCTTGCGGCCTTCCCACAGGCGTCCGTGTTCCAATTTCTTGAGGACTTTAGTGCGGTTGACGTGATGGTTTTGCACCGAACAAGAAGTCCATGATTGAAAAGTAAAGTAGTAACCAACATCTACCTCGGCTGCTTTCCACACCACCGGCCGGAAGAGCGTTTTTGCGGTGAGTGGACACGGGAGCGGATACTTTGTTGTCCCCCTTACCTGAAATCGTCCACTGGCGCCTAGATGGATCGAATCTCAGCTCCAAAGCAAGAACGTCATTCCCGGTGCACAAGCAAATCTGCCAACGTTTTGGACAAGCGATAATGACAAGAGTTGTCCACACGACAAGAGCCTGCCTTGCTGAAAAAACACTTGTCCGGCACGCGTCGAATCAGTATCGGGTGAGGAGTTTCGTTGTTCTGAGACTGCACGTCAAACGAGGCACCGGACGAGGTCAGGTTGTGCCACACGATACGTTGCTGCTCGATCCTGAACTCAAACGAACGCGGCATCGACCGCATTAGCATCAATGGTTTCGTTGACGAGAACCTACCGCTTCGTTTCGTTGATCAGGTTCACGTTATTCTTGTTTCTCGGTCACTCCACTGGTTGACTTGAGAAAAAAGTATGCTCGTCTGCCCAACGATAATTCCACTCAGTAACCATGGATACACTTCAATTTCGACGCGTCACTCGTCACTACCATTGGAATGGAGTTCTACCTTTCCAATGCCTTCATTTTTGCCCCCATTATCCCTATTGCACATTTTGAGAACCGACCCATACCCAATGGCCAACGCCCCACCTCGTAGACTGGCCTTCTCCCGGTTAGTTTCACCGCAGTCCATTCCCCGAGCGTGGACGGTTCCGCGTACTGCTTCCCCGTCACGAGCTCCCCCGTGCTGGTGTCCCACACGTACACCAGTCCGTCTCCGCCGCAGCCGAGCAGAAACCTCGCGTCTGGGCTGAAGGAAAGGTGACGAACGCACTTCATGGTATCGCGCGATAATGGCGGGGGCGAGGATTGTGGAGATCGTTGAGACTTTCGACTACCGCCTCGCTGGATCTACATCGTGATAGCTTGATGCTTAAACATTTATTTCCACAGGGATTATATATCTAATTACGATAGGTGCTTTCGCCATCCCGTTAGTTGACAGTACCTAGTAGCTCCCACCGGCCGTGCGAGGTTGTCTCTACCCGAAGATCTCCCATCCAGGGCCACCCCAACGATGTTCCCTGCGGTGCATGTCTCCTTGCTGTAACTTGAGAGCGATTCAGCACTGCCTTCCCTCAGGTACGCCACGCCAAACAAACCACCCACCTACATTCGAACGGTTAACCTTTCGACTAGACCACCCAAGGCAAACCTCCTAGTTCTCACCTCGGTTAAACCTTGAAACACAAACAAAGACGCTCGAGTCTTGTAGTCCCAAAGGAAGACCGGGGCAGGGTAGCCCTTGACTTTGGTAGATCCGCGCTGGCCTGGTTCGAACGCCGAATGGTGAGCGCCCACGAGGCAATGAGGAGAGAATATATCGTAAAAGCGTCAGACGGTCTGGGAGACATGGAAGAAAAGTTTGGAGATGCTACAGGATGGAGGCAATGTCCTTACCGCGTTAATGAGTCACGGAAGTGGACCTTTCACGCTGGACGTATTGGGCCAGGGGGTGGTGCCAGTGTTGTTAAAACGAGACCGCGAGTTCACCTCCCCGATTCTCCCGATGTTGGCCAGGAAAAGCCGTAGCTCCTGACGTTGATCAATTCCATCCCGACAGCTCCGTCCCAGAAACGTTGCAATTTTGAAAAACCTTCATTCGCACCATATGTGCCGTAGTGAACATGCGTCGATCAGTCCACCAAACATACTGCTGTACAGAACCAAGCAATGTACCACTTCCAGAGATGCTTCCCGTCTGTCGGAAACTGACTGAGGTCGTCACCTGTGGCTATTAGCGCACCCGACGAAGACACGGCGAGCGCGCTGATCTCCATGTCGTGCCCTCGAAGAAGGTGTTGTTGGTGAGGATCTGAAATTGAACCTAGATCACTCGTGGCAACAACCGAAGCATAGAGACATCGGCGCGGAGTTAATCCAGCATTCTTGTACTTCTGGAATTGTTCGTCCTCTAGAGCGCATCTCCTGTACTCGAGGCTAACGCTTCGAAGACGCGACAATGGGATCTCGATCAACTACCAACGTTCGATAGAATCCCCTCTTCGAGTTTATTCCCACCGCACAAAAGCCTGGTGCTGCGCGTCGTACGAGTGCTTGACAATTCACTTCATTGCAATCGAAGGTGCGAGTTGTAGTCGCTGACTTCTTACCAGTCACCAAAAGGGCGCCAACGCTCTTGATCATCACGCTCTTGTCTTCAGGGTGAGCAATGATCGTCTGCGTAAAATTCCCTGTGTATCTGGTCAGAGACGTTGAACAGGACCGGGGAGGACTCGGCATTAGTATCCTCAAGGCCTGGGTTTGTTTCTGGTGCTTGGAAATGGTTTCGAACGGTCTTCACAGGGGAAGTCGGCGCCACGCCAAAAACGGGGGCGCCACACGCCATACTCTTTGTGGCGATGATTGGGCGATACATCTGTCCGATATTGTTGATTCCGAAGGGCTCTATGACGTGTGTGCTGCCTAACACTACCATCGGTGTCTCGCCCGTCTACATGGCCTACAAAACACAGCGTCCGCTTATTCTAGCTGCATGGTCCGTTCGCTAACAACAGTCGTGGCCGCCAGCAGCGCTCACCCAATCATATGTTCAAGCTCGAGCAAATCGCCTCCTCCGCCATCTTGCTCCCCGTAACTCCCCCCGATGGTATTTTGTTCCCTAGGCACTTCACTCCTGTGATCACGAACGAGGACGACCACCGGTTTGGAGTCGGAAGGCATAACCAGGATCGACAGGCGTGTGAAACAACAGAGTGTCCAGAAGCCAAACTCTCTGAGGAGGGACACGAGAGTGCGGCCAAGGCTGACCGGGTGTCAGCTAGCCCTCAAGACCATATAGAATGCCCGACTACGATGTTCGCTGTTGAGTTTCAGAGCATGTGTCGTAACAACTCCACGCCACGACCCCTGCACCGTGGAAGTTCGAGAACACAGCACAGCTACATCGTAGAACTTTCGCTGGGTAAACCTCAGGCAAGTACATACAAATTATACAGTAGACGATGACGCACGTAGCATGTTCACGTACAGAACGCGCTGCCAGTTCAGAACTTGCTGTGTGCTTGGCCGAGGATCGGGTCCTTACTTCCTCTGCGGGCTGCCAATAGCCATTACAGCAGTGGTTTTGTGTACCGGCAGAGGCCTTTATCCAGGCATTACATGCTCGCATGTACGAGTTCTATGTGATACTTGTGCTGCCTTTGCAGCTGATTCTAGAGTTGCAGACTAGCCCATCCTGCACCTGACGGATTGCCGAGGCCTCTCTTGGCCGGCCGCTGCTCCTCCCTCTCGACTGCTTTGACTCATAGGTCCAATCTCTTCCCTTCCGGGTGTGATCGGGTTGCCATTGTAAGGCGAGCAGAAGGGGCTGGCCCACGTTCGGGTTTGAAGATTGGGCAATAACGGATTTACGGCCAGGAATGAGCGAACAACAGCCACAACAGGGAGGAATGCGAGTTGCAGTACGGCAGAAGCACATACCGATGTAGTTTCATGACAACATCACCCCTCAACCATCATATGTCATTCGTGTAGCATGCTCTGTCAATATTGCTTGTATAGGGCGCAATGATCAAGCTTATATACAGATGGCGCCCGCACTGAAGAACCTCCAGTTTCGGCCGAGGCTGGGGTTCTTACATTGCCGATCAAACTCTTGTGGGCTACAATTCGCCACTATATAGGTTTTAGTGCAGGGGTTCTTAACTGGGCTCACAAATGGTGCTCAAGTTCTTTGCTTCTGAAATTTTTCTAGTCTCAATTTGTTAACTGCCAAATTCTTACGTGCGGGCGCTATCTGTATGTAGTCTGATCATTGTTTATTTATGCAAACAGTAGTACAATCACTGGTACGCAGCCTTTACGTTCCACGCAATAAGACTAGGTAGGTGTACTGCCTTTGGTGTGAAGATCAAGATCCAGACGCATTTTTTTTCTGTGGAAGGTCGAAACTGACAAACACACCGTCGCCTTCCCGGTGACAGAACTCCGTAGGGTGTAGCCGAGGCACTGCCCGCCACTGCCTCTCCCTGGTGCTGGTGCTGATGCTGTCGTGATACCGCGCGGGGGACGCTGTCTCGTCGAGCATCGCTGTGTGTCGACTGAAAGTCCGACTCGGATGAGGGGGCCGTTCTAGCCGACGAGGGATTGCCAAAAATCCCTGCTCGCTCTGAGGCCCCCAGCGGCACTCGTGCCCGACCGCTCATCTATAATCACTTCACCTATGCTACCACGGCAGAAAGATCTGTTTTGATGAGGGAAGGGCGAAGGTCGACGGGAAAGAACTCGGGCGACGCTAAAAAAAAAAATTAGTTCGTTACAACCCGCACGCCTTCCGAACCTCGCTACTTACGAAACCTTTCCGGGAAAAAAAAATAGTCACAGAACAGGGAATCCCAGAATCAACGGTGCTGTTGTCGACCAAGACCCCCTCTATACAAGGCCATGGCTAGCAGCACTTCTCCCACCGTGCCCAATGCCTGCTCCAATCCGCAGAAAGTCATTGTCAAGCCTCGACGCACCCGTGAAGAGGGCCACCGTCTACAAGAATAGGGCCGAAATCACTCGAGTCGTCTCCTTCTCTCCCACCGATGGCTCCCGATGGGGTAGGCCTGCACAAGGTAAGCCTCCCACTGCCGTCGGTCTTGCCGTGTGCTGGTAGGTGAAGGGGAGGTGGAGGAGTGAGCCATTTCACGATACTCGCAAAAGATTATTTCTCCCTATCTGTTTCTGCCCGTGCGTGTTCCACAGACAGGCGATCCAACACACACCATCATGAATGCATCCCTCCGCATGTAGTCCTTCAAGTCGATCTTGATGTTGACCTGAGACAAGGTTGCGAACAACATACCTAAGTACTCCGTATTAGTTACCAGGGAGCACTAAACCATCACACTAGCTGTATCATGAGCACACAAGACACATGATGACTGGGTGGGGTTCGTTTTCATATACAGCAGCAGTTGGGGCTTGTCATGTCGCGAAGTCTACAAGAGAGTTGCAGAACTTTTTTTTGGGGTCAGACAAATTGCTGGACAGCCGGACAAACCAAGAGCACAATAGTGTTTTTCTTATCATGTTACCGCAGTGTACTCCGAAGTAAATATTTTAGCGGGGCATCATTTTCTTTGGTCTGAGACGTCCCTCTTCCTGCCCACCGCTCAGATAATACACCCCACCACGTTCGTATCTGAGGCATGGGTTGCTGTTCAGCTGCCTCAGATTCTCAGCGCGGAAGCAGAGTACTACTGTAGTAAACCACAAAATATTGCATCGCATCGTCCGAGCGTCCTGTCACCCCCGCTGAGCAGACCTGCTCCTCCGACGCGGGTGGTGGGTGTCAACATGTAAGTATGTGGTGGGCACTGTGGAACCGGCAAGGAAGGGTGGGATGATACAAGGTTTAACAGAACAGACCACAACTCTTCTTGCCTAAACCAATTGAGAAGAACACCCAGACCATCAGCTGTAGTTCACACGAACTGCTGGGTGGCCCAAAAGTTGCCTTTTGTTTTTCTCTACAGCGCCACCTCATCTAGACAGCTGTTGCGGTTTGGAATGCTGCTTTAAAATCCCTGTGGGAGGGTACTTCTAGGTTGAAGCTGCTGCTGCAGCTACTGCTACATCTTGCTGCTGCTGAACCGCCTGATTCTTTTACGTCAAAGCTGCTGCTACTGCTGCTGCTACTACTGCTCCAAATTTGCTGCTGCTGAATTGCCGCCTCTCTCTCTCTCTCTTGATTGAAATAAGAAGCTGACCGGCTGAGAGTTTGCTTGCAAGAAGCCTTGAGGGTGTTTCTCTGAGGTGACAATACCACCGTAAGATGCTCCTGGCACCTTGGATGATAAATAGCAGGAGCCAACCAAGCAACTCTCTCTTGTGTAGACAAGGGAAGAAGCAGCGTGGGAACGGCGCGCTCGAATGTTTCAGCCAATCAACGGGGGGCAGGAGCCACGTGATGCCGAAAAATATCTGAGTCCCCTCACGATCTTTTAGATGCCAATTTTTGTCTGGGCGATTTTATTTGAGCAAAACGAAACATTTCGATACCTCCACCCGCCTCTTCTCACAGCCAAGACAACATTCCGACGCCCAAACCATTACCCAAAACAGGCAACATGGCGGGTTCTTAAGCGGGTTACTTGCGTTGTGAAACTCTCGGCAACAACATTGATACAAGGAGAGGACTTGATGCAACAGCTACGTGCGTGCTGGCACGCTTAGATGTGTCGCAAGGGCGGCGCGGTCGACGGCTGCAGCTGCACAGCAGTCCGCCAGCTGAGTCCACGCCACCCAAGATGCTCCACGTGTCGTTACAAACCCAATTAATCCCCCGAACTGTGGTCGCTTTATCGCTCAAGGCAGCTGGGGTTTTGAATGATGTGGACCCTACGTTTGAAGCCTTTTCTGGTCTCATCTTCAGGAGAAACCGACGTTGTGCTCCCGGAAGAGAGAAGGCAGCAGATACCTAGCCATGCTGCGAGGTGGTTGAATACAACGGCAGCGTCCGCAGAAGCGCTAGTATACCAGCACAACATTTGGAAGTATATGCTGGCAAAGTTCCGTGTTGGTTGCGACCTCGGTTCCATCTGTTTTTTTTGTTGAAGATTCTATTTATTGTTTCCTTGGTGTACGCTTTATGATCGCGTTCTTGGGTGTACTGCTTTGCAAGGCAGGATCACGAACGACGAGGAGTTGTTCATCAGAGACTCCTTTCAGTTGTCGGCCCATCGACTACAGTCGTGACCAAATCAATGACGTAGCAACGGATTGAAACACATAATATGGAACATGAGGAAGACGCATAGAAAAGGGAGGGTGGGGGGGGCAGGAAGCGAGGCAAAGACCAGAGAGGCGGAGAGAAGGAGAGAAGGAGAGATACTACTACTGCCGCACATACCCAGTCACCCGAACCGACGGAATCGGAGAGTGATAGGGAGAGAGTTGAAGGGACCTTGAAATGTGTGTGAGTCTGTGCGACTAGGCAGGGAAGAGAGAAGAGGGTCGCACACTATTTGCTTCTACTTTTCGTACTTGGTAGAACACGCTGTACGGCATCTGGACCTGTCTCTACCTCTTTCTGTTTGATTGTCCGGTGTGCGGCTTGTGCCCTGCTTATCCATGATGAGATGCAATGCGGCCTCTGCGTACCCTTCTCCTTTTTCAGTTTCATTACATTAGTGCAATACCCAAGGTGAAGTAGACGCGTGATTCAACACTGTACTCGGAACACGGAATCACCAGCAGTGCACAGCCTTAAGAAAACGCCGCCCCTGCCCTCCCCGCCACACCGCACACCCACCGTGTCGTATTTGCACTAACCTTCCGAAGGGTGTTCGATGCGATGTCGAAGCTAGACAGCGAGCACACCGCCGCTCTGACGAAGCACGGCAGTGCTGCCATGGCTGGGCGTGCAAGGGCGTCTGCGTCGCCAAAGGGAATAATTTTTTTTTGGTTCTCCGACAAGCTGAAGCCGCAGGCGAAGGCTAAGGTGGTCGTCACCGTTGATGTGGAGGAGCTGCTGTGCCCCATCGAGTTGGAGGTATGCATACACATGTTGGAACGCGGGTGAGATTTTTTCTCCACGCTGGCGGACGTCTTTGAATACGTGCATTACGAGCTTGGGGTTGAGACGGAGGGGGGAAGAGACAGAGAGCGAGG